TATAATGTGCAGCGGAAAATAAAATAGGAATAAACAAGTAAAGATGGGAGGGGGTACATGCTGCGAGGGAATATCAATATCAACAGTAAATTAAGAGAAAGGCAAGGCAATTTAGAATTTATAGCAAAACAATAAGGAACTCGTAACCAGTCCATAAACATTGGTATTATCAATTGTTGCGGTGCGCAACTCGATCCCACAACATAATAACACTGTTGCGACGTGCAACCCGATCAATATCATTTATCACTATTGCGACGTGCAACCCGATCCAATTATATTATTGTTGCGGCGTGCAACCCGACCCAATTATATCATTGTTGCGGCGTGCAACCCGATCCAAATATAATATTGTTGCGACGTGCAACCTGATCCAAATATAATATTATTGCGGCGTACAACCCGATCCAAATATAATATTGTTGCGGCGCGCAACCCGATATATATATACAGTTCAACACCAATCCCAACAAGAGTCCCGTCAAGGGATCAATAAAGAAACAACACTATCCCGGCAAGGGAATCGACAGTATAAGTAAATACGTCCCCGGCAAGGGAAAATCAGCTATAACCTAACTTGTTCCAACATCTAACTACCTCAACCAGCACCAATACTTAATCATAAGTAATTTCCACGAGGATAATCATAATCCTTGTTCAACATAGAGAATCAACAACTTAGGCATTCGTAGTATTTATTCAGAATACAACAATTTTAATTTAAGACTCACGGTCATGCTTGCACCAACGTATAGATACTCGTCACCATGCCTATACGTCATACTCAACAAGTAACATGTAGAAAATAGGACACAACTCCTAATCCCTCAAGCTAAGGTTAGACCAAACACTTACCTTGAACTTCCANATCCAAATATATCATTGTTGCGGCGTGCAACCTGATCCAAATATAATATTATTGCGGCGTACAACCCGATCCAAATATAATATTATTGCGGCGCGCAACCCGATATATATATACAGTTCAACACCAATCCCAACAAGAGTCCCGTCAAGGGATCAATAAAGAAACAACACTATCCCGGCAAGGGAATCGACAGTATAAGTAAATACGTCCCCGGCAAGGGAAAATCAGCTATAACCTAACTTGTTCCAACATCTAACTACCTCAACCAGCACCAATACTTAATCATAAGTAATTTCCACGAGGATAATCATAATCCTTGTTCAACATAGAGAATCAACAACTTAGGCATTCGTAGTATTTATTCAGAATACAACAATTTTAATTTAAGACTCACGGTCATGCTTGCACCAACGTATAGATACTCGTCACCATGCCTATACGTCATACTCAACAAGTAACATGTAGAAAATAGGACACAACTCCTAATCCCTCAAGCTAAGGTTAGACCAAACACTTACCTTGAACTTCCACGGACAACTTAAGCCTCAAACACCGCTTTTCCTTTTGAATTTGGCTCCAAATCAATTGTATCTAGACATAATCGACTTAATAACATCAATAAACCTTACACAATTCAATTCCAATGTTTAATTATAGATTTCCCATCATTCTTCCCAAAAAGTCAAAAATCGACCCCGGGCTCGCTTGGTCAAAACACGAGGTTCAGACCAAAACCCGATCACCCATTCACCCACGAGTCCCAATATGTAATTAATTTCGAAATCCGACCCCAAAACAAGGTCTAAGTTCCAATTATACAAAAAGCCCTAACTCTACCCAAATTCCTAATTTTCTACCCTTAAGAACATGATTTAGGCCTAGAAATCTAATGGGTGTTAATGGAAATTGAAAAAAATGAGTCTAAGATTACATACCTATGAATTTGTGGTGAAGTTCTCTTTCAAAAATCGCCCAATTTGGAGTTTGGAAGAAGAAGTTATGAAATTTTGGTGAAATACCGAGTGTTCTATTACTGTTTAAAAATCACTGGGCAGGCCTCCATCGCGTTCGCGATAGGCCTATCGCGTTCGCGATGGGTTAGGCCTAGGTGACCTTCACGTTTGCGTTCGTCGGCTCGCGTTCGCGGAGCTTCAGCTCCTGGAGCCTTCGCGTTCGCGGTCAGACGGCCGCGTTTGCGTAGAACAAATGTGAACCCCTCCCCCCAGGCCATTAGCCTTACGCGTTCGCGAAGGGTACTCCCCCCACAGCCTCGCGTTCGCGTCCCAAGCTCTGCGTTCCTGAAGAGCAAACTGGCACTTGAGGAAATTGCCTTACGCGTTCGCGAGTGGGACTATGCGAACGCGAAGAACAAAACCTCTGTGCACTGAGACAGCAAAAACCTACAATGTTTCCTAAGTTCAAAACCTTCCGAAACCTATCCGAAACTCACCCGAGCCCTCGGGGCTCCAAAACCAAACATGCATACTAACTCAAAAATATCATATGAACTTATTCGTGTGATCAAATCGCCAAAATAACCTCTTAAACAACGAATTTAGCATAGAAATCTAAGAACAATTTCAAAACTTTCAAAGTATCAATTTTCACAACTACGGGTCCGAATCACCTCAAACGACTTCCGTTTCTTACCAAATTTCACATACTCATCTTAAATAACATATAAGACCTATACCGGGCTCCGGAACCAAAATACGTTCCCGATACCATCAAATTCTAAGCACATTTCATTTCCAAAACTCATAAATAATTCAAGAAAACAATTTTATTTAAAAATTCATTTCTCGGGCGTGGGACCTCGGAATTCAATTCCGGGCATACGCCCAAGTCCCATATTTTCCTACGGACCCTCCGGGACTGTCAAATCACGGGTCCGGGTCCGTTACCCAAAATATTGACCGAAGTCAACTTAAATCCATTTTAAAGTCAAAATTCATCATTTTTCACAGATTACACATAATGGCTTCTCGGCCACGTGTCCGGATTGTGCACGCAAATCGAGGTGATGCTGAAAGAGGTTTTAAGGCCTTGAAACGCAGAATTTATTTTTAAAACAAGTGATGACTTTTTGGGTCATCACATTAAAAAATGTTGACTGAAGTCAACTCAAATGAGGGTTTTAAGCAAAAATCTTTATTTTTATCAACTTTCAACATAAAAACTTTTCGGATACACGGTCGGACTGTGCACGCAAATTGAGGAGGGATAAAATGAGGTTTTAAGGCTTCAGAACACAGAATTTGGTTTTAATCACAAGATGACCTTCACATCAACCCAAATTTATGAAATTCTTCCGAAATGCTAAATTCCACAATAGGCGCCGAAATGCTCCCGGGTCATCCAAAACCCGATCCAGATATAAGCCCAAGTCCAAAATCATCACACAAATCTATTGAACCTCCAAATCCTGATTTCGAGGTCGTTTACTCAAAAATCTAATCTTAGTCAATTCTTCCAACTTAAAGCTTCCGATGTGAGAATTTTCTTTTCAAAATAACTCCGAACTTCTCAAAATTCAATTCCGACCATGCGTACAAGTCATAATACCTAAAGTGAAGCTGCTCATGGCCTCAAACCGCCAAATAACGTGCTAGAGCTCAAAATGACCGGTCGGGTCGTTACATCCAAATCCAACTTCTATCATCTGTGATATTGGCAAGCGCGATAAACTTCTGAGACAAATAAAGAGAATAGAGTTTGGTTCCTTAGAATCGAGCCATTTTAGGCGATTGGAGTTTTCTGGTGGTCAAAAAGCATTCACCACTCTAAACCACTGATGGTCTAAAAAAACCCTATCAATAGTATTGGGCGACCTCCATTGTTTCAAAACCATGGATTCCTATTGATTTTTTTCCTGAAATTCCAAAATTAAATTTATTTTTCTTGTTTAACCATGAACATAGTGGTGTTGTGAATTTGATCTGGAAATAAGAGAGAGAAATAACACTAAAGAAAAAGAGAAAGAAGAAGAATAAAAATAAGGAAAGGAATGAAGGTGGGTGAACATCGAAGAATGGAGAGGTGGGTGAACAGAGAGAAGTGTCAGGTCTATTTCTCTTTTTTTTTTTTTTTTTTTTTTTAATTTATAACTTCTTTTTTGTTTATTTAGTATTTAAAAATAGGACCCACAAATAACATATGTCAAGTAATAAATAATCTAGTATATGACGTGTTGTACATGTCAGCACAATTGATATAAACGCACTACTGAATATATTTATTAGTACTTATTCCGTCAAGTTCGAATGTTCAAATGAGAAAGTCCAAAGTTCATGTTCACTTTTCAAACGCCCTACAAGTCTAAGTGGCTAGGAAGCCATTCTAACTAATAAAAATAGAAGCTCCTAAAATTAATGAATATTGATCATATATAACTAACTTAATAAAGGAAGAGACTTTGTCTCAAATTCAGTTTAAACTTTATTCTAATGTCATAATTTTATCAATTTAATTTCACAAGTTATTATGTTTTTTTAAAAGTTTTGGCAAGAACACATAGCCCTTAAAAATTTAAAAGTTTTTCTAAAGATATTTTTGAAAAGTTATTCTCAAATCTATTTGAGGAGACACAAACAGAATTAATTAGCTATACTTTTATTGCAATTCTTAAAAGAATTTTAAAATAACACAAAATATTAATGCATATGAATGGATTATTTTGGGGGCTTAATTGCACATATATAAATTATTTTGTATAATTACAATAAGATTTTTTTTCTCAAAGGTGATGATCTAGCAAACGATGCTTATCACGTTAAGCATCCTAAATGTTGCATATATGAATCTATTTTGAATTAGTATAATTTATGTAAGGTGTAATATCAAATTTAAAGTTCTAAATATTAGGACTTCTACCTAGTTTAATAAGAAAAGATTTAATAATAAATTTTAGTTGATTCTAAATTCCTAAATATTAGGAAAGTAACATAAATTATAATTTTGTTCAATATAAAATTTAAATATAAAAGGTTAAAAAGGTCAATGAGTATTTTAGATTTTGTGCTTTTAAATATAATATATAGATAGATAGAATTATAGATATATTTTAGATGAATTATTCATATGCTATATTTTTTGTATACTATTTATTTTTAGTTTAGACAGTTGAGCGAGCCTACAGATTAATTCTTCATTTAAATTGGCAAATTGAGTCCCCAAAACAGCAACCGTGAAGAATAAGAGCCTGCAATCAATAATTTCTCCATCAAAACCAGAAGAATCACCATGGGAGAGCATTCGAGCAGGAAAAAGAAGCACAAACTAGAAGAATCAGCCACTTCTTCGTCACAATCGTCTTCCGAGTCAGACGATGAAACTGACAGCTCTTCCGACGATGAAAACCGACGCAAGCGTCGGCACAAACGGCGTCGTCGCGAGGAGGAAAGGAGTCGGAGAAGCTCCTCGAGGAGCGATAAGCATAGAGAGAGGAAGAAGAGAGAGAAGAAGCATAGGAAGAAGCGGAAGCATAGAGGCAGCAGCAGCAATAGGAGATCAAAACGAGAGGGGAAGAGGAAGTATCCGGATTCTGATGAGTCGGACTCTGTTTCCGGGTCGGACTCTGATGATTCCCCGTCCGAGACGCTTAGGGAAAGGCCGGAGGATGTGGTGAAAGGTATATTGCAGGAGTTTCCTACTGTAGCTGGTGATTTAGAACAGGTACTATATTTTGATTATTCTTTTTGTAATTAGCTAGCTAATTGTGTTATTGTTGTTGTCGTTTTTGTTGCTACGTTATACTCCATCCGTCTTGATTCTGTGATGGTATTTGACTAAGCACGAGGTTAAGTAAGAAAAAAAAGCTTTGGAAACTTGTGGTCTAAAACGCGGCATAGAAATTTGTGTGTATATAAATCATCTCTGAAAAATGAAAAGTGTAAAGTTAAATTGTTTTTAAATATATACATATGTAATGTGTCATTCTTTTTGGATCAGAGTTAAATGAGACAAAGGAAGTGTAATATTAGTGATAGTGGAAGAAAATAATGTAATAGTAAAAATTAGTATAATAGAGAAAATATCAACATCAAAGTTCAAACTTAAATAGTCATTACATTTGGACTTTTGAAAGTTGTAAAAAAAAATGTCTTGAACGTTTTGGAGAGTCCCAAGATGGAGAAGTATTGTATAAATCACGGGACAGATAATCATTTTTTTGTATTAATTCATTAATTTTTTGTACAAGAATTTTTCCTTGTTATTTTAAAAGTTCCATGCACTTGAAAATTCCCATTCAGATTTTTTTTGCAATTTCATTATCAGAAGATAGTTCACCGGAAATGTTAATTTAATTGATGGAGTTGGATAAGATGGTTGGATGGAACTCCTTTTTTTTTTAAAGGCATTGTGTTAAACAGGCACCAAGAAGTTGCAGGGAACACAAAGTATGAGAAGTTGTTAACCAAATCCTTACCAAAATTCATAAGATGAAATACAAAGTCAGAACAACTCCCTTTGCACTTGCTGGAATTTCATTTAGGAGCTGGCCTTTTCTTTATCTTCATGATAGTAGTTATCACATTCTAAATTTAGCTGGATAGTGGTGTTAAGTCTTGTACCAAATCTAGCTACTAACATACCTTCAGTATTAGGGAATTAGAGAGTCCATGTTAAGTAAAGTGCAAACAGTGTCCATAGTTAAGCAGTTTCACAGTTTGAAAACCTATTTGTATATTCTCCTGTCTTCTGACAAAGGTTGGAGCAGATTTCTACCTCTTTACTCTCCGATTTGGTCATGTAGAAGCTCCCTGGGCTTTGTTCTAGTGGTAAGATCACAACACTTGATGTTAGAGTTAGGCGCATGTCACGGGTTCGAATCCCGCAGCTAACTAAACCCTGGTATCTACGTAGAGAAGGTAGAAAGGGCAGGTCATTATCCACCGAGCTTCGAACCGTGCGCCACTACCCCTTGGAGATTTTTCGGTTATTGAAAATTAGGTCATGTTCTATAAAGCGGTAGTTAGACCGCTCATGTTGTATGGAGCCGAGTGTTGACCAGTCAAGAAATCTCATGTCTAGAAGTTGCCGTGAAGGAAATAAGGATGTTGAGATGGATGTGTGGGCATACCAGGAAAGATAAGATTAGGAATGAGTATATTAGGGACAAGGTGGACGTGACTCCTGTAGAAGATAAGTTGCGGGAATGGAGGCTGAGATGGTTCGGACATGTGAAGAGGAGAGACCCTGATTCCCCCGGTTAGGATGTGAGAGGTTGACCATGGGGGTTAGAGGAGGGGTAGAGGGAGGCCTACGAAGTATTGGGGTGAGGTGATTAGGCAGGACATGGTGCTACTGCAGCTTACCGAAGATATGACCCTCGAGAGGAAGGTGTGGAGGTCGAGGGTTAGGGTTGTGGGTTGATAGCAGTCTAGAATTTCGTCTAGTCTTTTCAGTAGTTTTAGTACTAGTCTTGTATTTTCCTATTCCTAGCCCTTTGCTATTACATGGTGTGTCATTATTTCCAGCAGGATTGACTCTATTCGTACAATGTTGTATTCTTAGATCTTTGTTATTGCACCTTGCATCATTTGCTTACGTGTCTTATTACCTTATTGTTGCTACTGTTTGTTTATTGCGTCATTTTTGCTTCTCTTGAGCCGAGTGTCCTTCGGAAATAACCTCTCTACCGTCATAAGGTGGGGGTAAGGTCTGCGTACACTTACCCTCTCCGGACTCCACTTATGGGATTTCACTGTTTTATTGTTATTGTTATTGTTGATGAAAATTAGGTCATGTAGGAGCTTTGGAGCCAGAATTCTGACTTTTAGCGATGAGTTATTTTTCCAATTGATCTGCCAAGAAAAGGCTGCATTATATGCAACAATGCGTTATTACGAGAACTAGAAGGACCTTACAAAGTGAATTAATCAATAGAGAACCAACATCTGTTTCCTTCCAGAATATTCTATCCGTAGTTTAAATTGCCCAGTTCAATTCCTTGATTTTGTTAGCTCCTTATCTTTTGTATAGGAAGCCCCTAGTGAGCTAACATTATCTATTTTTGTGAGCTTAACAGCTATGACTTCTTTTGTGACTTTACTTTCTGGTATTTGCATCTTCCTGATGCCCTATTTTAATCCAACATCTTACTTCATTAAAAAAAAAAAAAAATTCCCCCCTGCAGTACCCTAGTTTCCATCAAAAGAAATCCTTTTCTACCTTGTATTAGTGAGTAAAGAAATGAGCTGTTTGGTTTTGTAGATATACATAAGGGATGCTTGTGTCCAGTGGTGGGGCGGGGATTCAAAAGAATGCTAAGAATGTTGCACCTGGGATTTGAACTTTAATCAATTTTTTAACCTTCTTTGCCACTATACTAGGTCAAGGGGATTCAACAATTTAAATATAGCAACAATTTTGATTATGTTCTATTTGTACAGTGCAGTTTATCAATGAAGGGGATTCAATTGAACCTCCTTTCTTCAGCTTAGCTCTGCCCCTGCTTTTGTCCGCTAGCATTCAATGTGTACAGAAGATTGGGTGTCGTTCATAGAGAATCACATTATGTTGTAGATTCTCTTACTTTTTGGTATATTTCTTGTATATGGGAGATTTATTGATAAAGTTAATACCATATCCAAAAAAACTTGTGTCCATAAGCTACTAATCGATTTGGTCGTTCATTAGTGCTAACATGGTATTCTAGGATTTTAAATCATAATAAATTCGTCTTCTAGCTAATATTTGACATATTCACTATGAGCATGAACATGCTTAAAAAGTTCTTGTTCTCATATGTAGGCAAATTCAGCTAACGTCTTCTGAAAAATTCTATGCAGCTTCTACAAATGATTGATGATGGACAAGCTGTAGATATAAGGGGTTTATCTGAAAAATTGTTGGTCAAGCGTCTGCAAAAGCTGTTCCTGTCCTTAAACCTTAAGGAAAGCGGCGATCATGTCTTTCTACTACCATCAAAAGCATCTCCTACTTTGGAGACTATAGGACCCTTAATCCGCTCCCAAATGCAACTTAAAAGTCAGGAGTTTTGTCAGAATGATGAGCACTCGAAGCCATGGGATTCAGGAGGCGGACAAGAAAGTTATAATGCCAATATGAGTTTGCCAAATGAAGAAGCTAGTGCTCATAATGTTAATTTGAGTTTGCCAAATGATAATGCTAACGCTTATGATGCTAATTTAAGTTTGCCTGCCAAAGAAGGTACCGGCCCAAAAAGGAGGTATGTTGATCTCACCCTCCTGCTCTATTTAACCTCTCAGCATCATGTTATGGTTGATCATACTAGCATGCTAACATCCCCTGGCTGTTTTTGCTTTACATAAAAGGAACATTGAACATGAAGGACAAGGGGGATCGAGATCAAGAAAAATTAGAATTAGTAACTCACAAAGGGCAGCAAATTTTTAAGTGGAAATGACGATGAGAGAACTATCAAGGAAGAGGAGGATTCAGAGTATGACGTAGAATATGAGACAATATAAAAGAAAGAGGACTTTGTTGGGCGATCCTATAACGAGAACTGAGCAAGGAAGCATTTCACCTAGAAATTTCAAGAATGCTAGGGAATGAATGTTCTTTAGGCAAATGACAAGAGTATAAAAGAGAAGGGCCTTCAACGTCTCTCTTTAATGATTATTGAAGACATTAGGGACCAAGCAATTTCTTATAAGGGGTATTAATTGCAAATGGGTAGTGTTTTTGGTCATCAAAATTGGTAGGAAACAAGTGTTTCGATCAGTTATAAAACACATGAATGACACCAGTACTCATCTTGGGCAAATTCTTCAGACTGACTAAGCATTACTTTGTAACATCAGTACCTTCTTTTTGTGAAGTCTTTATTGATAAAAGGAGTCCTTCCTTTTTTTTTTGACAGTTTCTAATCTGTAAAGCATCCTTTTCCTTCTTGAACCTCCNCCCCCCCCCCCCCAAAAAAAAAAAGGGATTACTGTTTTCCTTCTTTTACCTGGGAAAATAAAATGTAGTGATTGTTGAATATGGTGGTTTCTTCACTATATTTTCTGATTTCTTCTTTTATGACCTCATCCTAATCCGATGTCGTCTTCATGTTTATTTTATCTCCTTTGTGCTTGTGCAGGGTTATTGGCCCCGCAATGCCTTCTGCAGAATTACTTGCTGCTGCAGCTAAATTGACAGAAGCACAAGCTGAGCTGAGGTAATCCTCTATCTACATTACAATTTATTCCCCCACTCAGATATGTACTCGTGGACTTGGATTTCAAGACTGGCTATCCCTATCGGTATTGATGAAGAGCTACTTTAACTGTATTGGCATTGCGCTTAATGAAGTAGATAATTTGATTCCTCCCTTAAGCTAATCAACTAGACCGTTCTACAGTAGTGATGAAGATGCTTCACATTGGGTGCATTTACTTCCTTCTGAAAGTTTTCAGTTCAGACATGGAAAAACAGATTGTTTTTGACACATAATACAAAGATTACTATGAGCTTCGTGATGAACTCACGATTTGACCAGCCTCTCTTTGTAATTTTACCCGTGCTTCTCTCTCCCTCTCTCTCCCTCTCTCTCTCTCTCCCTCTCTCTCTCTCCCCCATAAGTACTGGCTTTCAGTCAATTATATTATCCATTCCACACTTAAGAAGCTTCAAATAACAGTTTAGGTTGTCATGTATGGTATACCAGCCTATAGTGAACTGCATTAAATGTCTCTGGCTAATGTTTCCAGGGATGTTGAGTTGGAAGAAGATACTGAATTGTTTGTGGGACCTCCACCTCCTGCTTTGGTGACTGAGGTAGAATCAGCAAATGAGGCCGAGCGTTTTGAAGAGGTTCTTCCTGCATTCTCTTCTCTTTCCTATCAGCCTATCAGTTGTATCTACATAGATTTCCCCTGAATAATCATACCTGGGTCTAAAAGTTTCTTAGTACCTTCAATCTGACTTCACTACACTTGAAATTTTGATTTGGTAAACACTGTTCAAACAAAGTATTCCAGTTGTATTAGTTTACTTGACGGACTTTTTAATTTAAGGAAACCAAATGGAACTAACCCTCTAGATTTACAGATACCATTAACCAACACCAGTATGCACCTTCAAATAAAGAAGAATCCACCATGTAGTGTTGATATGGTACTGTAATTTGTATTTTCTTTTGGCAGGGGTGGAATTTGTAATTCGTTCTTTCTTTTTTTAATAAGTAGCCCTTTTTGGTTTGTCTGTTGGTTGGTTGCTCTCTCTCTTGATCGATCGATTTCTCGGTACAATTTCAGAAATTTGAACACTAAAAGTAGTGTAACCGTGTATCCTATATTCTCGTAGACACTTCCCAATCTCTCTGGGTCTTCGACTCTTCCTTTTCGCATCCTTTATGTCTTTGTTCTGTTGTCAACTTCTATATATACCTTCGTCACAATTTTTGCACTGCAGTTGTGGGTCTGGGTTTGGCTTATGTTCATGTTTGATATTTTTGGTAAATGTGAGTTGAGAATTTTCTTTTCTATGTAACTCTTAGTCGACAATCTGGACAATTGCGTATTATTATTTCTTATACCTGGTCAGGTTACAAGAATCATGGGAGCAGAGGCAGACAACTTATATGATGTTTTGGGTGTGAACAGAAATATGTTGGGTGATAACATAAAGAAAAGGTAATTTGATTGATTGTTCGTGGAGTGCTAAAACCTTTTTTCTTTATGGATTAGATTAGTATCTGTAGTTTTGATCCCCTGAAGTTATTATTTTCTTAGTTAAGAAGTTTTTTGTCTGCTCACCGTTCAATTTCTCAAACTTGGTCTGGCGGATGGCTAAGCTGCGGAAGACTTTCCTTTTTCTTCTAAATCATGCTTGATTGAAATTTTAAACCTGAAGAGTCAGTGGGGATGCTTCCTGACGGGCCTGTTATATGTTGCTTTCTTACAAGTAATGAGTGACAACTGAGGTGCATTGGTCTTTTGGCCTTGCACAGTATTGATCTTGATGAAAACTGAATATTGAAGTCCATAATTGATATTTTGCATCACTAGCTAATTTAACTCACTATATAAATACGGAATATAACGAGTCACTATGCAAATACTTTGAATATTAACTTAAACCTCTACTAATAAAAAAAAAGAAGGAAAACACACACACACATTAAGTTACACTTCTGAATGTCGTCACTGAATGTTAAATTCAAGTTGCATATGTTGGGCATAGATATGATGTCCAATACGGAAATAACTTCTTTGCTTAGTTTTTTATAAGGCGGTCAAATTTAATTTAAAAAGGGCATAATTGCCCTTATACAAGAAGTATACCGAAAAGTAAAAAGTATAAAAATCTTGCATAAAAATATGATTTTCTACCAACAACATCCGATCTTCTATTCTTATGGAGATCTCATGGGTGGAGTCAACTGTACAAAGTCCTCCTCTATTCCCTCAAAAGCCTTTTTGGTTCTCTCTCCAAATGGTCCACATAAGTGCAAGTGGAGGAATATCCCATGCTTTGTGTCCTCTTTTCCAACTTCTGAAGGTCCAATGGAACATTGCTTCTTTAACCGAGCTTGACATCACTCATTGAAGACCAAACCATCCCAGTACTTTCCACCATAACCTAGATGCTATCCGACAGTGTAAAAGAAGGTGATTCACGTCGCTCTCAAGGCTTTGGTCTAGTGGTAAAGGCTCAACACGTGATGTGCAGTTCGAACCCTGCCCCAGAAAAAAGCTTGATATTTAGGTGGGGAAAGATTAGAAAAATAAAGAAGATAGAGGAGCATGTTCAAAAAAAGGTGATTCATGTCTTCTCCTTAACATTTATACATAATGCACCAACTGACAGATATAATCTTCCTCTTCCTCATATTCTCAGCCACCAAGATCACCCATCCTCACAGCTATATTTTATTAATTGTTTATAATATATGATTTGAAAATAAAGTTTTAGTATATTCTGAAAATTGTTAAAAGTTATGGTTACTGAAATATTCAAACATGTTTGCTTTCATATTTGTTTATAGATTATTTATGACGTGTTATATAAAATCTAATAGTTTGTGACTTTTAGATTCATTGGTAAGTCAAGTTGCTTTCATTTAAGATTTCGTAAAGCATTTTGCCTTCATTTATTTTCAGGTTGGGGAGGGTTGAATGGACGGTTTATACTTTATTAATATACTATTTTAGGATTATATATCCAGCTGTGCCCTCATACAATGGTCTATTGTGATGATTAATATATGGCTGTGACACGAGACATTATACCATCACAATAAGGGAGGAATTTTAGCCACAAGTTGTTAACTGGTATTAGAGGAAGCATTGTTTCTTTCTTCCTCGTCTTGATGGTGAGACTACTCCTATTGGCATGTGAACCACGGATGTGGATTAGTTACCAATCGACTGTTAACTTGTAGCTGCTGCTGTCATGCTGCTAAATAAATGCACCTTTAAACTCTGTTCTCATTTATTTGTTAATTTGGTGTATGTTTTAGGTACTGGAAGCTGTCTCTGATGGTGCATCCTGATAAATGCTCTCATCCTGAAGCTCACCAAGCGTTCATCAAGCTGAACAAAGCCTTTAAAGATTTGCAAGATCCGGACAAAGTGAGTAACTAAATGATGCCATCATTTATATTCCTCACGAACTTTGCTCTGCCAGGAGAAGCTTCTTTAGTGTCTGGCATAAAACCATGTTTTATTTTCAAGTAGCTAAGGCTAAGCGCAGATATCTTTCATTTGTTTTTTATTATCAGACATCAGTTGGACATTTTGTCTAAGCTAGCTAGGGTAACTGGTATCTAGTCATTTTTGTGTAGATGCCAGTCCCATATATTTTTTTACCAAATGTTTTTGCTTACTCTTCGTTCTCTCTTTTTTTTTTTTTTAAAATTTATTGTACATAGTGGGTAGGAGAAGGGGAAATGGACAAGGGAATTACATGGTAGGGAATCAAAACCCTCACCATCAAGGTGAAAGTTTTGAATCTTTTTGAATCTCTTAGTTAATTTTGAGTTGGACCATCATTTCATATTGTCTTTTTATCAAATTTGCCTTAGTGTTATTTAGGATAGCTAATTTGGATTTGCTATATGCTGTGTGAATCAATTATTTTGGTGTTGTTTTTCTTTCTTGTTTTCTTGGTATGCATTTATTTGGTTCAGATAAAATAAAATTTATTTTTGTGTTTTCGCTAATATTTGAAAATTTCTTAAGTGTCAGCTGATCTGTGTGCCAAGAATTTTGGTGTGAATGTCAAAATTCAGCAGTTGACATCAATGCCACATTCTGTTTAACAACAACAAACCTAGTATAATCCCACAAGTGGGGTCTGGTGAGGTGTAGTGTGTACGCAGACTTTACCCCTATCTTGAAGGCAGCGAGGTTGTTTCCAATAGATCCCCGGCTCAAGGACATACGCAGTGCCACATCTATTTACTAGTGTATAACTTTCTTGGCTTATAATTTTACCTAGGAGTTATACTCAAATTTTTGCTTAAATGATGAAATAAAGAAGACTTATTAAAAATAACAATGAAATAGGGAAAGAAAAGAACTAGGAAATAGAGAAGTGAAGCCTTTTACCTACTCAGGAAGTTGAAAAAATCATCAAAACTTGATGGTTTTTTCACTTAATAAGCAAACCAGCAGAGATTATGAAGTCTACCAATACCTTATTCTGTTCCATATCGTATATCTAGTCATGTGACAGGTTGAGTAATTAGCTTATTAAAAAGTCAAAACTCAACAAATATGACTTGGGTTGCTTGTTTTATCCATACAATCATTATTAACTACTCAAGACACCATTATATGTTTTTCGCATTTGTACTTTGGCAATGCAATCTTCTACATCTACAAGTGACATGCAAATATGGATTCATCTTCTATTCAGGTTTTAGAAGGAAATTAAGAAACAACATATGAAAGCTAAAATCTCTTTGGCTTTCTTGTTCCTGCAGAGAACAAAATAGGCACTGCCTTGTGCACTCACCTTTCGATAGAAATTAAAATGCTCAGGCAGGAAATCATACTTTTGCAAGAAACTGTCAAAAAGTGTCTTAGAGAAGCTCAGTGGGATCAGGTGTAGGGTTTTCCTCCTAAGAGCAGCGGTGCTAGATGTATCTGTTACTTTCTCACTTTCATCTCACTTCACTGATTCATTGTCAAAATGTATAGCAAATGAAAAATAAGCAGGATATGACCACTCAGGACTAACACATTGAAAATTTCTTGCTATCGTTTGATGCATTAGCATCAGGCATTCTTTAACTGTAGCTTATCACTGTTCCATTTCATTTCCTTATACTTATTTTGTGACCTTTCTATATTTTCTGGAACATTTACAGCATGGCAATGTTTTATTGGTGGTTTTTCCAATGCTGTTTTCTTGTGACTTATCAAAAAGATGTTTTCTTTTGTAGAGGAAAGTGTTCGATGATAAAATAAAGCACAAGGAAGAACAAGAGGAACTTAAGGTACATTCTTTGTGTCCCATGTGGTATGAAGATAACTCAAAGCTCTCTTGTCTGTGAATCTGTTAATGGAAGATTTGGTTCTGTAGGCAGATTTACAAGCTATGCGTGAAGCCGCCCTATGGAGACGTGTGCAAGGTTAGCCCTTTTTGCTTTAACTTTGTTTATCATTGATTTTATTTTACACTTGATCAAATTTTTTATGTGACTTGTACTTAATTTTTCTATTCAAGTTCTCTTGTGCTTAATCCTATGTGATTTCTACCCTGAGCCGGAGGAGGCAAGTTCTAGTGTGCATAAGAAATTAAGAATTACACAAACAAAAGCATGGTATTTAAGTAGATAGAAGGGTAGAGGGACTGGCCGATTATCAGCCGAGTTCTGAACTGTAATCCACTGGCCCTTGGGGATTTATTGGTTATCCGAAAACAAAAAAAGAAGAAACTGAAGGAAAAAGAACAAATATGGCTAGTACATAGTCGGTATATTTTGCTATTCATTTTCATTCCTACCATTAAATATCATGTAATCATCGCGCGTTGAAAAGGGATGCAAAGCAAGTGCAGCCAAAGGTCAATTTACTGAAAATGACAGCACTTCTGGTTATCTCTGTATATAACCTCTAGGTCTTGTACCAGATGAACTGTCAAAGAATTAAGTCAATTTTTTGGGATGATACTCTTTATTTCAGTTTTGTGCCTATCCTCACCTTGTGTATGTCTTGTTTCAAAATAATGTTATTTGTTATTTGAAGTAACAATCTAGTAAATCATTTAAGGACAAGATTTCTGAGGTGAAAATAAGTAGTACACTAACGGTAGCAAAATGGATAAAAGAAAACAATTATCCACCCATATTATCCATTAAAAAATGGGTTGGATAAGGAACTTTTTTAAAACGAGTCAAATATGAGTAAGAACCATATTATTCACTAAGAAAATGGATAACCAATGCATAACTAATGAGTTTAACTCTTACATTTGTATAGCCTCAAATTGGGGATTTCTCAAGTTTGGGAGAATAAGAATTCTCCCAAAAGTGAATATATTCAAGAAGTCATGGATAATATGGATATCCGCCGGTTAACCCATTTTTTTATCCGTATTAAATATGGGTCGGTTCGGACAATTTATTCGTTTTTGTATTACCCGTTTTCGGCCCGTCCCGCCCGTTTGGCACCCCTACTAACAACTAACACTTTATTAATTGGTGTTTATCTCGGGATTGCTCTAAACATACTGCATGGGTCAAATGAGTGGTTTTAAAGACGTAGTTAAATACAGGAAAAAAGAAAATGCTTTCTCTTGAATAGCTTTAGTTTTTTAAATGGGGTGATAGACAAAAATCAACATAGTAGTAGAGCAAGGGTCTACCTTGTCGTAATAAAACTTCTTCCACATGTTTGGGCCACAAGTGAGGTGGCATGTTACAGACAAATACTAAAAATGTTTCATCTCTAGCTTAAACTTCCAGAATGATGGTACATACAATTAGCAGATAGGTCTCATATACACCAGATAAATGTTTGTCTTTCTGACAGAATGGTATAATATGTTACACTCCAGTAATAGAACCTATTGTGAAACTGAAGTACCAGTTCTCCTCTTTTCCTGGTATGTGATTGTTGCCTTTGTCGCGTTCACCACCCTTGAAGGAGATTTGGAAGGTTACGGTCTAGCTCACGGCTCACCTGAGTTACTAGAGAGTCCATTGCTGATGGATAAAGCATAAGAAGACTATCTGTAGGTTCAGACATGTTATCTTTCCAATTCAGAAGTCCTGGATTGTCTATGTACTGTACAAGTAAGCTTCTTGTTAAGGATATGCATTCAACTGTAGAGAAGACCGACACAATTTAATATAGACAGCACGAGCGCATGCACGTGTGAGTTAGGAAGAGATATAGATGATAGTGTCGATGCAATTAATGTTGAATTAAGTTCCCTTAGCTTCATTTTCATGCTTGTCCTTTCACCTTTTGGTCGGTTAACTATTTATATCTCTACTTGAGAGAACATATTCCTCTGCTTTAAATATCCTGATTCTCGTCTTACTAGCATTTTACCTTGAAGATTTGTCTAAACTAACATTCCCAGCAAGTCTATCGTCATACTTTTGGTGTCAATTCTTGTAACACATTATTGAATTTTGTTTTCCTCCTTTACAGAGAACTTCCCTGTCTTTCTTTTTGCTGCGGTGGGAGGGGGTTGGAGAGAGTGTGCAGCTTCTTCTGGGATGTTGCATCCCGTGTATGGGGCATATGTACCACCTGATTTACATGCTTAAAGCTCATTCTGTTTCCATTAATAAGAACCTCACTTTTAGTTGAGATGTCTCTTAAGGACACCTCGTGTTGGATGGATGGCCGAGCAATATAGTTATGAAGTAATGTTGAGATGCAAGAGTGTCAATATTATCAGTGGCTTGTTCCAAATCTATTAATATTGGCTATGGTACTTGTCAATAAGATGGCTCTTTGCAAAATGTTCTGTTGGCTGAAAAGAATTGACAGAGAGTAGTTTCATTCTTTTCAAATTGAATTATGCAACAATTTCATAACAAAAATTCCGTGTCACCCTTTCATTGAATACTTCTAACACCATGATTACTTTTTCAAACTGCAACTAAGTAATTTATAGTGGCTCAGTACTTCTTTTTGGGATAAAGTTGTGACTTGATATGTTTACAGCCTTTAATTTGAAGAGGAGAATTTCCTTTTAATCGGGAAAACTATTTGCTTCAGGTATCTCCATGGAAGGTGACGATCTGCTGTTAGCAGAGATGGAGGTCAAAGCTGCACCAAAGAGAGATGAATGGATGACAACGCTGCCTCCTGAAAGAAAAGTAAGGTTTTCATTCTTCCATCAATTTTGATGAGTGATGGGGATTTATTGATAATATAGATGACATATATGTTTTGATATTGGGTTGTTATTTGAAAACCATATCTTCTTTCAATAAGCTTTTTACTGTCTCGCGTTACTGCATATTGGAAAGATTTTGGACCTATATAAGGATGCTTCTTGCGTTATGGCTTATATGACTATGAAATAACCCAACACCATAGCTTGATTGTTGAAAAGCAAGAATCTAATAGAAGCAAACACAAATTGAACGGGAAGCTATGGCTCAGGGGATTTTGTTCAATGGAAGCACCAATTTCTTTTCCATACGAATGCCAGTATTTTATTCCCACCTCGAAGTTATAAGATAGAGTAATTTTAAAAAATAAAAATATATATATATATATATGCATACATGTAGAAATTCTTGCATGCATGATGTGCATATGTATATACATGCACTATATAAAAAAAAACCCCAAAAAAGCATGCACTATATATAATGCTGGTCGAAAAGTTAAATAAAGGCAAAATACATACTTTACCCATCGACCTTGTACTCAAATTCCTCTTACACACTTGTTAAACACGGGAATAGTATTACACACCAAAACTTTTAAAAGTGTCACTTACACACCTCTTTTGCCATGTGTCACACGCGTGTATTACACATAAAAGAGGCGCGTGAAAACTAAAAAATTCACCCGAAATTAAGTCTTTTTTTTTTTAAATTTTTTTCCCTTTTTTAACTATTTCCTTTAAATTAAAGTAAAAAATATAACCCATGTCTTCTTCCCCAACCCCAAAACCCAGTGTTT